TGCCTCATACCACTACACTAATTAAGTTCCATTTAGCACTAACCGCTCGCTAAAATATGGGGAGCAATAACAGTAAGTATAAAGCTCTTACCCCGACTACAAGCTGGAAAATGTTATATTTTTCACCAAGGAATAGAGTCACAACCACAGCAAGTGTGTTTAGGAAGAAGTTTATTTATACAAATGTTTGTCACATGTACAAATGAATTAACAATTCAACATAAATATAAACCATTGACAACATACTCTCCTCCAATACAACCATCACGAAACTTTAAAATCCCCAGGGTGTAAATTATTTATAACAGAGTAATTTCTAAAGACGTCCACCCAGGTTTGGGGAATCATCTGAAGGTCAGCAGATAAACTGGTTCTCCAACTCAGGATGAAATCTGCAGATAAAAGACGACATTTTGATTAATTCTTTATTGTGAAACATGAACGATCAGACTGACTTTAGAGGATTACGGCATCCTCACCTGCATTTAAGTCTCCTCATACTGGTTAAACCCTGACTGATGTTTGTGGCGCACTCTGGTTGGTTTCAACGAGGAGCCACTCTTCTCACTGACGCCAGCAGGAACCTGTGAAACAGTAAAAACAGCATTTCTCAGATGATTTATACACTTTATACATCTGTTCATACAAGGAGACTTTAATGAAACTGGATTTTGACGATCCAGGTTTGATTAAATGTTCTTTGTTGTAGTTCAGGTAAACTTACCACTTAATCGCCTCCGAGACCTTCGACAAGGGACTTCTGCACTCATCAGCAGCCTCTGAAAGATTTCCACTCCTGTAAAGCAGAGCTTCCAGTTAGACACTCGAGCAGTACAACAAACATTTCATCTGACTAGAAACCTAAAAAGATGTCGGAGGTTTACCTATAACCCTGCTGCGAGGAGTCACAGCAGGGCCTCAAACAACCTCGCGTCTCTCTAGCAGACACTACAGGAAAGAACAGAGCCACTGCAGGCTGAGCCTCGCTGGTGAGGTCTGCACAGGTCTTACAGGTTTAACAAGGTGGCGTCACATTCGGGGTGTCAGTCAATGAAGGAGGCTGGCTCAGGCTCAGTACCTGCTTGTACAAAATCAGCTGCACTCTCCCTCCTCTGTGACTGTTAACTGACAGTCGCTGGTTAACAGTCTGAAACACCGGGGAGCTGTAGGACACACCGTAACTGGTGAACCGGGAGAAGAGTTTTCTACTATGAGACTGCAGGTGTCTGCAAAGAGTCTGCATCTGGCTTCTTAATAGCACAGGATTTCACTATTGTGGTCGTTAATTATGGAATATTAAGAAAGATCTGACACCCTGAGGTACATTTTTATTATTAGCACACTTTAGGTTTTTCTGATCACAACAATCCTCAGCCTATAAAGCAATAAGGAAACAAAAGTCTCAGTTATTCAGATTAGATATAACAATTCATTTTCTTTAAGTCTACCATCCTCATTTGGCCCAAATATGACACCATTATTCTCTTAAAGGATTTGTGTAATGTATCATTAAATGTCTTAACGTGTAGTAAGTGGCCACGTGTCGTCTTCTCTTTATAAAACTAACCTCAATCATTGAGCATCAGATGTCAGTCAGGGGGTCTGAGCAGAGCGGGGTCTGGCTTCATCTCTGCAGTCCTGTAAAAAGAGGATTTTACATTAAGTACAGGACATTTAACAAAAATCCTCTAACAGTTGACTACAGTTTTCCCTCCAACCACAACATTAATGTGGCCACAGCACAGGCTAAAGTACAATACAATGTATGATTTTCAGGATATTTGGTCATTTTAAACAGTTTCCAGATGTTTCCATGACCGGAAAACGAAGTGTCCTAGTTTTCCAGGACACATGTGGATTCTGATCTACAGATTCACACACAAAGTACCATGAAGGAAGGAGAGTTTAAGTAAGGCCTCACTCTTTAAACAACAGTGTAGTTTGTGTTTAGAGTATAAACCAGTTACATGTTAGTCGTCTACCACAGAGACAACGTGGTAAAAAACCCTGGGAATGTCACAATATCTTGTTATAAGATACAGCGATGTGCCAGCAACGTATTTAAATACTGATTACATTTATTATTACGATCAGAGAACTGCTCTACCAGAGAATACCGTTGTAATGTTTGCATGCTAAAAACAGATATTGGTACATAACATGAATAAAATTAAAATAATGTGCTATATAATCTTACGTTTGTTCTATTCCTACCTAAAGTACAAACTATAAACAGTTAAAAGCACTGATTTAGTAGTTTGCAGCAGTGAAAACCTGCACTCCCATCCCTTCATGCCACATGGTCTCCTGCTGTAATTCAATAAAACTCCCTTCAAGGTGAACATGGGTTAGAAAACAGCACCCAGACGGTTTTTAGGCTCATTTTGTGGCCATGATAAAACAATAAGTGGGTACTTTCCACAATAATTGTCGGAGGTTTACCTATAACCCTGCCATGAAGAGTCACAGCAGGGCCTCAAACAACCTCACATCTCTCTAGCAGACACTACAGGAAAGGATAGAGCCACTGCAGGCTGGGCCTCGCTGGAAAGGTCTGCACATTCAACACTTTAAAGCTAAAAGAAGTTTACAATAAACGTGTTTGCGTGTCTTTCCTGTAATAACACGTTAACACGAGGTTTCCTCAATCCAATACATAATCTACACATGGTCTTAAGAGTTGAATATCTACTGATAACGTTGTTAAAAAGCAGCCTTACCTCTCCATCTTAACGCTGGATGTCGCACACATGTATTCAGTCTGTAAACATAGAAAATAAATAATGTTTAAACAGGTTAGGTAGCAGGAGACCAACGCCCGCATTTCACAGCCTTTAACCGTTTACAGCAACATTTCTTTAACAAAACCGACATTTTATCACAACTGATCACCTCTAATAACATTTAACGTTGTCAGAAACTTTATAAATCGATTAATTTAAAGTGGATGGAGGCGGATTATTTATAAATACCTTCACTCTCAATCCGCCGTGCGATCAACTGGACTACATGTCCGGATGTGACGTGTTTTTATACACGGGGTCTTCTTCTACTGTTTTTTTTTAAACTGAGTTTAACGATGCACGGGTTCGCCCGGTTCGCCCAGCAGGGGGCGGTAAGACACCAAATATGGCAGCGGATGTTTGAACTGAATTTAACGGTTTTCTCTTGTGATGCGATGTTTGGGTGATGAACTAGTTTAAATACAAGTTAAAATACAATAATTAAAGCTTAATAAAGATCGTATAAAGCGAATAAAGATGAATACAGTAGCAGTCAAGTAATATTTATGGCACTCTTCAAACCAAGAGGAGAAGACAAGTGCCAAGACAAGGCAAAATACTAAATTACTAATACATATTTACTCATTTTAAAGTTATAAAAGTGAAGAATAGCCAAAGAAATTGAATAGTTTGGTGAATAAATGAGTATGACAATATAAATATGAGGTGAACTGAATTACGAGAATTGGGTTGAAAGAGAATAAAGAAATAAACTAAAGCAGTAAACACATCCAAAACAAACCAGAATGTACGTTTATTATAATGTATTTTGAGATGATATTGGGAAATAAATTCAAATTAGTTTGACTCACTTCCTCATGCTGGAAATATCACAATGAGAGCAAATGGAAAAAACAAATCTCCAAACGCCTTTAGTCCAAAATAAGATTAAAAAAAGGGAAATTATTGAAACTGTGATCACATCATTAAGAAATGACTTTGCATTTTCCCATGTAAACTGAATAGAGGAAAGTTACCAGTAGGCACATCACAGTAAACATTAAAAAGATATTTACATATAAAATATTCTTACTACTGTACTTTTAAAATCTTTAGTTTTATTGAGCAACATTTCCCCCAAATTATGTTATAGCTACAGGAATTTCAGAATAAAACCAACCACATAGTGCATATAAAGTGATTTTAAAACTGCTTTTTATCCACAACAGACCATCTCTATGTAGGAGGGCTCTTTATAACCCAGTGGACAGCCGTTGCTGGTGGGTGTCCACGAGGAGGACGCTCGTGGTGGATGACTCAGACTGCATTTGCCCAAACACAAACAATACAGGCCATAGAGGAGCAGACTTCTCTCTTTGGCCGTCTGTTGTGGCCTGCACCATCAGCAGACGTCCAGCGATGAATTTCAGCTTTGTTTTCCTGCAGTGATGCTGACCACTCACCCAGTTGACGTGGTTCGAATACTGAACCTGACAATCTGAATCTGTGTTTAGACCCAAAACACGGGGCTGTTTTAGCCGCTCTTCTTGTTTATCTGTGTGAGACTTTAGAGGAAGTTCTGTTGAAGCTATAAATAAGAAAAGGCGGCTTTATCTTGTACCCACTGTCTCTGAAGTCGCCACCAAACAGTACTGTCGATTTATCGTAATTTGATCATATTTTTCCTGGGATTAAAACCTGACAGGGTCTGTTTTTGCTGCATGAACATGTCTGTACAATACCAACAACAAGAAGTGAAGCTTGAAATCATTTACCAGACAATCACATAATCAGATTTCAGAATCTTAAAATAGCTCAGTGACCAAAATGCTTTTACAAAAGTTTATTTTTACTTTTATATGAGTTGTTGTTTTCTACTTTTAACTTCTGAGGACAGTGAGGTCATGTCTTGACTTTTTGGGGGGATTTGAGACCAAGACTAGGAGATTTGGTTAAATTGCAACTGAAACTGTGACCTTCACACATTGTGGAATATAAAAAAAGCTATTTCTACATAATAAATATATTTAAATATATTGTTTCAGTAACTTGTGTCCCTTCATTGACTCACTCAGGTCCACTGTGGCAGTTCAGTTAGAGTTTCCCTACACTTATATCTGAATAAAAGAAGTAATTATTCTTATTCTAACAGTTTGAGTAAAAAAATGCATGACTGCAAGCTGTATTAAATAAATAACAATCCCAATCTCACTACAGGGATATTGTTTATTTAAAGTAAAAAGATACAAATAAAAATAGAAGATCAAACAAAGTATTTAAATATTTACAAGTTCAAATTATTTACATATAAGATATAGAAACACCTTAATCCTGAGAACAGGAGGTCAAACCTGCCACACCTACTGCACACGCCCCAAGAGGAGAGGGGGAGACCTCTATCTCATCTAACTAGCTAGACAGAGCAAAAAAGGGCGGGATTTAGGAAGGGTCAGTTGAAATAATATATTCCATGATGCATAATAATTTCATTGGTAATGCTAATATTCTCCACTGTCCCAGAAACTGTCCTTTTTATTGTCTCCAGGACAACAGGACATCCTTAATGTCAAGCACTGTCACTTGGTCTTCATCGAGATGACTCTGCGTCTGGGTCACATGATGACATATGAGACAAATCAGAAATACTTTAATAAACTTTCTTAGGGAAACACAATCCCAAATCTGAAAGACCATGGATTCACAGAAAAGTGCTAATAAATGTACATTGTGTTCAAATTATTGGCTTGAACTAAAGAAATCCTTGAAAGATTGTTATAAAGAAGGCTTTAAAACTGCTGTAAAACTTTAACTTTGAGGGGGTGGGTTTGTAATCCTGACTGTGACCGTGCAATAAAGGTTTGTGTCTGATCTGGAATCAAAGTCAGTGGTAACAACTAGAGGCATTGCTAAGTGGCGACAGAGACCTTGTATATTTAAATTAAGCTGAACGGCCCTGAGAGGACAGACTGCTGAATCAAACTTGTGTCAGACGTCAGAGGAACCATTCACTCACCAAACAAGAGCTGTAATCCACCTAAAGGCCTTTTGGCGAGCGGACAGCACAGTGAGCGCTGCTCTGAATGTCGTCACCACTCTCTGATTTATTCGAAGGTGACGCTCCGAGGATCACAAACCAGCTGAGGGAGTTTACTCATAACAACTCAAACCCTCTAAGAGCCTTTTCTCAGGATCACTCTGAGGGTGTCTTTCCTTCCAGCTGTAGAGTCACTGCAGTTGTTTCACAGCACACATACAGCGTACTGCAAGTGGGTTGCAGGGTTGGTTTTCTGTTTGAGATTTAAGTGAGAGTTATGTAAGAGGCATTAGATCACACTGAGTCGGCATGTGAATAATGCATTTGTGTGAGTGTGTTGGATCCTCTTCAGCTGACCAACATGACTGAGCTCCAGGAGATGCAACTTTGTCAGAGAGACGGCTGCAGTTAATCGTTAATACGAGCTGCAACTAATATTTTTTTCACATTACTAATTAATCATTTACTCTCTTTAACATTTAACAGTTCCCAAACACAAAGACGATGTCTTCAAATAGGTTTGTTTTTGTCCAACTAAAAGCCCAGAACACAAAAATATTAAATTTACAATATAGAAAAACAGGGAACTGGTGTAATTAATTGTGAATAAAGCTGCAACTAATAGTTCTTCTCATTACTGATTAACTATTTAGTCTATACAATGTCTGAAAATAGTGAAAAATGCCAATTCCCAAACACCAAGATTATGTCTGTAGACAGGATTGTTTTTGTCAGAAACAGTCAAAAACAATAAAATAATACACCTGCAACAAAGAAAACAGAGAAAAACAAGAAATCCTCACATTTTATGAAGCTGAAACCTGTAAATGTTTAATATTTGTGACCGATAAATGACTTAAAACATCAAACATACTGAAAGTGTGTGTTTACATGTCATTAAAATATGTATTTAATCAACTCAGGAGGCAAATTTGTTTAAGAATTCAAACATTTTAAAACAATCTGGTACGAAAAGTTGGACTTTACCCTTAAACGATAAGAATAAACTGATCTAATAATCAGCAAGCTCTGCCTCTGTTTGGACTTTACTGACTCTAATGTTAACTGGCAGGGCCCCTTCTGTTGAAGCCTGAGAGTTCGGGGAACACTCACGTGGACTCACAGTTGATCTGGATGCTACATCAATGACAGAAACACAAGGAGAGCTGTGGTGCAGCTGAGGCTCCAGCTGATCTCCCTCCACCCCCCAACGCCGTACAGTAGCTCCCGGCCGCTCTTACGAAACCACGCAGCGACCTGAGAGGCTTTGCGAGGTCGCAGTTTGAGGATAATTGAAGTTTCATTCAGACTTTGGGCTTTAATGAGCACATAATCCTTTTCACCTGATCCCTGCCGGCCAAAATGAGGTGAAATACTTCGTTCCACATGGTCGAGAAAAAGGCTGCGTGCAGCCATAATGTCATTATGATCCTCTCTTCTTTTGCTGTTTAATCTGGTTAGTAAATATCAGTGGTTGAATATAACTATGTACATGTACTCAAGTACAGTTTTTATGCTACTTTACACTCCAAATAAAGTCTTTAAAATGAACCTTTACCAGCTGCAACATGAAAGTGACGCTTACACCCGAATGCATCACTAATTATTATCCAATAATATAAATTATACATGTGACTCTGAAATGGGCCATTCTCCATAATGAGTACTTTTGGTACTTTAAGTAAGATTTTGAATGCAGGACTTTTACTTGTAATAGATTACTTTTACACTGTGGTATTGTGCTACATCTACTTAAGTAAACTGAATACTTCTTCAAACTCTGTAGTTAGTCAGAGTTTTGACACTTCAATGTCATCCACATATGTATGCTTATAGAGGAAATATTAAGGTGGTTTTAAAGGTGGTATTAAGCTGAGGTTAATTACCCAGGATTCATTGCAATACGGACATAATAGCGTTTTTACAACTGCTGAGTAAAAAGAACAGACAGAACTTATTATGAATGTGTAAAACACTTACTTTATTAAAACTTTACTTGAATTAATTCAGGTCAGAAATAATATTTTAAGCACATCATGATACAGAAATACGACTGTTGCTTCAAGCGTCTCCGCAGACTTGAGGCCTCAGTTCCAGTTTCACACCCGTCACAAACTTGACGTGACGACTGTGAATACGTCACAGGATGTACGACTGAGGATGATATATGGATCCAGTCTCTCTCTTGGGACACTTGAACCGAGTGCAGCCAGTTCATTTGCGCGTGCAGTTGTAATTCAGTAGATGGATCATACAATAAGAAGTTTTCCAGTACATGATTTTC